CGAGGTAGGAAAAACAGGAACTATAAACACAAATGTTTGGTTCAACATTTAGGCCAGTGGCCTTCAGCGTGCTCCTTCTACAAGAATTGTCTCAGTGTCGCATCCGGGTGGCCTGGAGATTGTTCAAAGAGGGGCTCACCTCTGGCCTCGCTGAGCAGAGATTTGAACCCAGAGCCACCCAGCGTGTACCACTTATAGGGATCGGATTCTTCAAGTTGATGAATGTGGGATATTGTGTCCTTCTAGTCGCGATTCGAAATGGATGCCAATCTTTACACAGCAAAGGGCAGACTGAGTACCGATGATACCCCACGGCAGCAGTCAAGATGGTCTACACGACAGGGGGCCCCTCTTGTCCTCACTACCGTTCACAAAGAGACACCAAACAGGGGGAGATTCCAGAACCTGACTCCCTTTTTTTCATCCGGTGTAGAAGCTATACACTTTGGGGCAATAGGAAACCACTTCAGTTCCCTCCATTTAAAAATAAATAAATCATAACTCCAACGCCCGTTGTCCAAATTTCCCCACGTGTGGCACACAGCGAGAGCAGTTTATCTGCTACAACAGTGCCAAATTTGGAGCTGATCCGAAGCCCGGTTTCAACGTTATAAGGCTTTACAAACCTGACTCCTTTTTTCATCCGGTGTGGAAGCTATACACTTTGGGGCACTAGGAAACCACTTCTGTAACCTCCATTTGAAAATAAATAAATCATTACTCCAAAGCCCGTTGTCCAAATTTCCCCATGTGTGGCACACCGCGAGAGCAGTTTATCTGCTACAACGGTGCCAAATTTGGAGCTGATCTGAAGCCCGGTTTCAACGTTATAAGGCTTTATGTAGGGTGCTCCCATTTTTAGAACTGCCCCATCAAACGCTGATTTGCTCCGCCAGCCCACGACCATGACTGCCCTCTCATGCAGCAATAATGCCATCATGGTCTTACCCACTTGCGACATTCATTTCTAGACATGAATCAAACAGCTCCGCGGATTGTTTTATTTAAATTTCGTCTCTCAAGCGACGGTTTGTTCTGTTCAAACGTCTATACAGTACCTCCTTTCCCCTGAGGAGAACAGCAAGAGAGCATTCCAGCTGGCAGAAGAGTCTCCAGAAAGCAGCCACAGGAACCTACAGAGCCTCCTCCTCCTCCTTTGAGTCTGAATGATGCCCGCCAGGCTGGGCGAGGCTCTGGGGAAGGTGCCCTCTCAGCTCTTCTGGCTCCCCCTTGCCCCCAGGAGGAGGGAGGAAAGAAGACGGGGGGGAAGCCACACAAAGAGCTTTTATGCAGCCGGCTGGCTGGCTCGCATTCAGCGCCCAACGGCTGCCGGTCTGTGGAGCAGGTGAGTCAAAAAGAGCGGGACCGTTTTTTTCAAAACACGCAAGTCGCCGATGCAGTCGCGGGCCCAAGAAACAGCCAAAAACAGGGGTGGGGTGTGTGCAAATTCTCTCTCACACACAAACAGCATTTCAAAATTGCATTTTGGGCAGTGTGTGCCACACCATCCGAAAAGCAGAGCGGAGGGGAAAAAATGTCAACCTCAATTCCAGGATCTGTTTAAAAACAGAAACAAAGCGGCTTTTGGGAAGATGGAACCGGCAGAACTTTAACAAATTCTCCCGCTGCAACTTTTAACGTCTCATCATCCACAAGAGGAAACCGGACATTATAGGGCGGCCACAGGCATGTTCGGGGGGCAATGTGCCCAGATCCGAAGGGGAACCCAAACCAGAGAAGGTTTTTTTAGGGTCAACCACTCCCAGAAAAATCCCAGCCACCACACCCGTCCAGCGTCCCAAAAAGAACTTCCCCCCCCCCAACTTGGTAATTACCACCCCGTCCAAATGAGCCAGGTACACATCATGTTGAATGAGACGTTAGAATATCAAATACCGGACAAGTTCAAACCACCCTTGGGAGGATCGCTCATATTTTAACATCCCCTCCATGGCCCAACGAGGAGAAAAGCCAGCTTGGCTTCCAGTTCAAAAGCAGATTTGGGGGAAAACGGCTCTTCCAAAGCTCTCATACGAATGCATTTGATTTTTACACGCAAGGGGACGGTGCCTGTGGACACAGAGGAGCAGTTAAAAAAAAATACACAGACTGCATAAAGGCATAAACGCACCTGGACTCAGAATCAGCATGCTGAATTTCGTAATCGCAGCTGGCAGGTCCAGTTTAAACCTTATTTTCTGCTTCTGCTAAGCAATTTGGGATTTAAGAGTGGGGCAGTTAGAACCTCTAACAGGATCATTGTGTATTTTGTGGTGTTGAGCTGGAACCGACGTACGTTGCAGGCCCCACTTTTTGGATGACCGTAAGTGTTTTAAAGAAGTGTTTTTCCCAGTCCCCTCGCTCCTGGAGTGAGTTTTCAACGGCTGAGCAAGGATTCGCACCCATGCCTTTTGAGCCCCCCAGTCTGTCCCTCTGCACCACACTTCGCCAAGGAAACTCGCTGGGGGGTGGCAATCGGCAAAGACTCCTTGAATATCTCATTTATTTTGAAAACATCAGCAAAGCTGTTGTAAGTCAAGAGAGACTTGACAGCCCATAATAATAAAACAGTGAAAAAAAACTTTAATGCAGGCTGGCTTGGTTCAGTCTCTCCACCACAAGGCTTGGAAAGGAGACAGGAATATCCCATATGTGTAAGGAAAAAATAGTGTGAAGTCAGCTTTTCTCTCCCGCTTGGTGACCTCTGTGACAGACAGCAACGTGGCGCCTGGGGAGCTGTTCGCCACAGGAGGGCCTCTGATCACCCCAGGCGAGCAGATCCAGGAACACCAGTTGGGAGTTGAGATGTAAAAGGTGCTGAAAAGACAGCATTTCGAGGTTAAAAGTAGACGGTCATGGGCTACGTGGGCAGGGCTTGGCCACGCCTCTCACAGTGGGGGTCACCACAACAGGCAAGGGGAGCGTTGTGGGCAAGAAAGCACCACAACACGTTGCTAAGTGCAGCCTAAGGAATGGTACCCAGCAGCATCTGAAAAGATGCGCAGATCCGTCTTTCTGGCTTGTGGCTCCCCGATTTCTCTGGGCAGCTCTGCCACCTGCGCGAGGGGTCTTTTCAGAGGCGACCCAGGCAGGGAGGCGAAGTCTGGCCACCAGCCACGCAAGCTTGAGACTTGGGAGTGCAGAACACGAAAAACAATAATAATTTCCCTACTTCAAGATACGAGTGACAGAGAAGGCCAAGACTGGATCAGAAAGACACAACCCATCCGTCCAGGAGTGTGGATTCCCTTTGGTCCTTCAGATGCCAGACATCCCCCCCCAAGTCCCACGATTTTTGTGGGCCACGACACCGGGGGGCTGACACAACATGGAAGTTCAAAACATGTGAGGGGGTGAAGATTCCTTACTGAGCCCTTCTCCTCTCCCTTTCCTCCAGGAGACCTCCAAAACGATTGCTCCTGAGCTTATGGGTAAGGAGCCCGTCCTGCTTTGCTGCTCCCCAGGAATCGGTACGCAAAGGTAGACTGCCCCTGGCTATAGGAGTTTTATTCAGTGGCTACAGCCAACTGGATTGCAGAGTTTAGGTGAATTTGTTCCATCTGATTCGAAAGGCAACCCAGATAGCAGGGGCCACCACCTCACGCAGAAAGGAAACCCACAACCATGTGTTGTGTCAAGATCTCACCCTGAAATTCTGCGCCAAGAAGTGGCAGAACAACACAATGGAGCAGAATGGTTGACCACACAATCTCTGTGCATCTCCATTTAGAAATCTTATACAGGTCTATAGCACTTACTCCTGAGAATACATACAGCCTAGATGTAGAAATAAAAATAAAAACCAGAAAAAACTGGGGCAACTTAATGACTAACATTTATTTCGGTACAGAGTTTTGTGGATTGCCCTCTGCTTTCTTGGGGTCCATAATCCACAAGAGTTTTTTTCCATTGAAAAAGCAGCCAGATTTTTAAGGTGCCACCCTCACTTCCTATTTTTGTTACGCCTGCTGGAATTAACACCGTTTTGTTACACCGACAGCCCAGTCTAGCAGGTACCACTTATCAAATCAGAGCGGAGGAAGTCGAGTGAGAACATGGAAAGCGGCACGCTGGGCCCCTGTCGCTCAAATCTTTCTTACCAAGCAACCCACAGAAAATGAGCAAAAAGTAAAAAAAAAAATCAGGTCCGAGTGATTTCTGGAAGCCCAAGGTTCCATTTTAAATATTTTAACCCAGTTTTTCTGCTCGAAAGGACTCATGGGGGTTTTAGGGCTGAGGGAGCGACACCCCGCTTTATTACAAAAACACACCGCTTTTAGAGGCTGCCAGGAGCAGAGTTTATTTTGAAGAGGATGGACACGTGTGGGTCACAAAAAAATATATATATGACGTGGGAGGCTTACATCTGTCGCCGATTCCCACACTGAAAGCTCTCGAGGGAAGGGCTAGAAAGATACGGCATCGGTCAGCATAGATAAGAGGACACTCGAAAGAGCGGCTGGTTATCTCATTACAAGACCATACCAGTGTCCTGGTTTAACTCGTTTCCTCCAGGCCAGTGTGGTTCAAGCAATTAACTTGGGAGATCTGGGTTCGAGGTCCGGACGAGCCACTAAACAAGGTGAGTCACCTTCACTCTGGCATGCTCCGAGTCTGATCTTCCTCCCAGGGTTGTCCCGGGGTTATAGAAGAGAGGAGGACAGCGCTCAGAGCAGCAAGGAGACAAAACCTCAAGGTGCGTCATGAACCAACACAAACACAACCCGCTTCTTGAAGCGGCAAGCTTGGGTATCGCCAGGGCTTTGCTATGGGACCTCCGGAGAAGCAGAAAAGTGAGGTGCATTCAATAAAAAATAAAAAAACGATAAAACTCTGCTGTATCTCAAAGGCTGTCTGGCCTACGAAGCAAGGATAGTGCAGAAAGCATTCTCTCTTAAACCACACACACAGAGACATAAAAAAATTTGGGTCTGCCAGACGTTCCAGCTTCCTTCCTCACGCATTCCACAGGGCAGTATGCATCTCGGGCAAAAACTCACCAGTTTCCGGAGCGTCCCCTCGTCCATGGTCAAAAGCGTCTCCTCGGACATGGTGCCACCACCACCACCTCCTCCCTGGGGTCAAAAGAAGCTGGCGGTCCCGGAGGGGGGGTTCTCAACGTGTGCCAGCTGGAAAGCGGGCTGCTTCTACAGGGCAGCAACGGCAGAGGGGAAATTCTAGAAGGGAAAAAAATCATAACCATGTTCAGGAGGGAGGAGAAAATATGAATAACCAGGGACCTTCTCCTGGGGCTCATTAAAGGCGCGCTGAAAGGCGAACGGAAGGACAGCAGCTGTTTCACGGGCTGCTAATCCTGCTCTGGAAACGGAGGTTGTGTGAACGCCAACCCCAGTTGGGTCTGCGTTGAATCCGCGCTAGATTTCCCATTCAACCTATTCACCTCCAGGAAACTCTGATACCCAGAAGCATCCTGGAATGTCCAACCTTGCACCAAACCCGATTCTGCCCAGGTACGCATCGGATTTTGCTCCGTTTCAGAGGAGCCTTGAACCACACGGCCGTTGGCTTCCCACCCCATCAGAGAAGAAACCACCAACCGTACCGAACCCAGGCTGATCCCGACACACCAGAGACACAACCCTACCCAACCGCCCACTCCGTCGCAATCCCGAAAGCACTGACTCAGAAACAAGGAAGTCGGTGGAATTCACTCCCAAATAAATGCAGCGGAAAACATGTTCGTAATTGGAAGCCACGGATGCCTGAATGCCTAACGTGTTCGTGTCATTATCTGCGCAATTAAAAGTCTCGTGAGCTATAAACCCAAACAAGGCGCCACCCACCTTTGGGGGGCCTTTTGTTGGCTTCCAGGCTTACAAGGCTAGCTGGCGTTACACATAAGTAGACAGACCGCACTAGCCCGCCAATAATCAAAGGTGTATAAGGAAAACGGCTAGCTTTGAAGAGTAATAGATTCCTTTTCCGTGGCAGCTTTTCTGGACCGCAACCCACGAAAACCCACACAATAAAAGATCCTTAAAATGTCACAAGACTTTGGGCTTGGCATGTTTCTGTTCCGGATTTTCCAACGTCGCCAACGTTTTGGAAGAAAAAGAATTAAATAGATGCCAACGTCTTTCAGAGAGTATTTACAGAGGACTGTGAAAGGTATCTCTACAGCGTGAAATAGATGCTGCTTCAACAGCTAGGCTGCAAGTGGGCTTTGTAGTAACTTGGCTTCAGATAAAAAGGTTTCAGATTCCTTTAGAGCCACAAAACACTCTTAACTCTGGTTATTATCTCCAAGCCAGCCTACCGTGCAGGGGTGTTCAGAAGATAAAAACCAGGCCAACCTACATACATCCTGACTAAACTGTTTGGGTGGAAGGAGGATGTAACTCATTAAATCCTTAAGTGTAACCATTTTTGGAAAAAAAAAACAAAAGCAAAAAAGTCTCATAGTTTATGCCTCACAGGGACAACATTGGTTACAAATTAACTAGCCGTTTCCTTGATATTCTGGATCCAGAGGGGGTTCCCAACTGGGGGGACTGGAGTGGTTCTAGAGGTCGGGGGGGGCCTCCAAGGGCTATGCCCCCCACCAGAGCCCATAAACCCATCCGAGGGGGTTCTTCCAGACCACCGAACCCAAAGCATGCCAACCTGTGCCCACCACTAGGCACCTCTTCTTTTTCCAAGGGGAGTCACGCAATTCGATTC